AGGGAACGGAACGCCTGGGGAATGTGGCAGCCATGAAACATCGCGGCGAAAGGCAGCGGAACCCAAACTCAACTTGTCGTGGTTGAGAACATGATAGGTGGAACAGGGCAGCAGCCACGAACGCCAGGGCAGTTCCGTTGTTGCCCATCAAGTGGCTTTTGGAGCCGCGGTGGGCGTCGTGATGGCGGTGGTTTGACATTAAACGACATTGGTGTTTGCCCGCGCCAGGTTTCTTCAGGCGACTGGCTGGCCAGCCAAAATCCCCTCGACACTAAGAGCGGCTGTTCCGCCCATCCCCTGGTGGTAGGCTCCTCGGCGGTGGGGTTTGGTGGTACTGTCTTGTCCCCTTAGCGCCTTGCGCATTCCCGCCCCGTCCTCCCATTATTGAGCACTCCACACCCCGGGAATTCCTTCGGCGAGGACCCACGTCCACATACGCCTCTCCAGCCCGGAGAGGCCAGGTAACATTACCATTCCGCTTTGTTTTGCAGTGCCGTGTCTTTCTCCCGATCAAGAATGGGGCATGGGGCGCGATGATTTCGAAAGCTGTTGGCCCGGGGCCGTATGACAAGGTTAGGTCTTTGGGACACTGCAACTTTGAATGAATGAGAGTGCACAAAGGAGGCGGATGAGGATGACACCCGTGTTTCTCGGAGTAGAACGGATCATGAAGGGAGAAGAAGAAGAAGCGTAGCGTGTTGATCAGTGGATGATTTTATTGTCTGAGGCCCACTTATTGCAGATAACTGCCTTTTGAAAAGTTCCTCTTTCTTCTTGAATTGCCTTTGCCTTTGCCCCTCTCACTAAGTTGCAGGTCTTAGAAGCCTCATAAACTATCGCTGCCGTTAGGCAATGGATGAAGTGGTCTATGGATAGCTACGGGTCAAGCTGCGCGGTGTTGTTGGGCAGTCGCTTGACAGCCAAGGGGAGGAGGAAATTTCCGAGCCGTTGTAGCCCACTGTCCATTCGATTTCAATAGCTCGCCTGAGTTGAACAAATATTTTGATGGGCTGGATGGGACTTGCCCTGCCCCATCAGGGCGAATTGGGGGCAGCATCTCGGCAGACGATTGCAGGGAATGGCGCCACCATCCATCGTCGCTTCTCAACTTTGAGGACTTCAGAAATTGGGAGGAAGGGGCGAGGAGGCATGGGCGAGGACGAGCCAGGGTGTTCGGCTCCGGCGACCGAATGACTGCAAGCTGGGGGTGAAAACAAGGTGTCCACTACCTGTTAGGGGTTAGCTGCGCACGGCTGGAGCTGCAGTTTTAGCCAACCAGGAGTGGCCTCCTACCCTTTTGGTCATGGGCGCAACGCCACAAAGTCGTTGCGGAAGGAGCAAATGAAAATTTGGTCTGCACATAATGCTTGTACGCCGTTGAGGGCAGCATGGGAACATTGAACTGACCGGTTGGCCCAACTCTCCTCATGGTTACGCACACTCTATCATGAAGCTGCCGTGCCCAAGTCAGCCTTCTGGCTTATCGCGAGCAACCGTGAACCTTTGACATCCACTGCATATGGCTCCAACAGGAGTCGCTCGCCCTTCAGGAAATCAGCCTCATTCTGAAGAAGTCAGGTTGAAGTTGTGGATCTTGCAATCATCCAACCAAGATCAAAGGAGCCCTGGATGCAACCCGTGTCGGGTCAATTAGTGGAGGGTGCGCAGTTAAGCACGATAAGCTGCGCAGGAGCAACCTCGAGTGTTTCTGTTTCTACAATCCGCCCATACTCTCCAGACCTTGGAACAAGCAAACTCAAATCTTGTGAACCAAAAAGAACGTTATCAAAGAAGAAAAAGAAAAAGAAAAGCCAGCTATGTAACAATAACACCTCTCCGGTTGTAGACCAAGCGTCGCATGAGATGGGTCGTGGGGTGGTGTAATCTGCCCCTGACAAGAGCCCGCAGCCACTCATGTCTAGAAGGAGGACGGGAAACAGGGGTCTAAGGGGAGCGGATTGGAGAGGTGTGGGAGAAGCCAAGGGGGTTGGGTTAGTGCTAACCACCGCCCAATATTACCGTTGATTTCTTTGGTACACTACGACTTTGATGGGCTTCTTCCACGGCCTCATATCGGCGAAGCCTGAAATGAGAGCAGCGCGAGAAAGGGAAAGGAAAAAAATCCCTATCAATAGCTCTACTTCAATGTTCATTATGTCTCCATAATATTGTCAGCACCAGCGTTGTTAGTTCCCACATCCAAGGAGAGTTCGGGGCTTCATTGCTTGGAGTCTGTAAACCGGGACTGCCAGCGGAGAATATAGGGCCTTGAAATGAGGAAGTCGGAGAACAATATGAGGATGATCGGGTTCAGAGACTAGGCAAGAGCAAGCGAGACAAAATGGTAGCTTGCCGGTTGGTCGAGCTTGAATCGGTAACGCCTACCCTCGATACAGTGGACTGATCTCTCAGGTGCTGGCTTGCATCCTACACCACCAAGACAGGCAGGCTCGCCTCGACAATAATTTCCGAGTACTCTCCGTTGAGGAGAATTTCTCTTTATCGAGCAGAGAAAAAGAATGAAAAAGGGGACATTATGGCCCATGTCTCGATTACTCTTTACCCGTGTTGGTGAATGTCGCGCTTGAAAAGGAAATGGTGCAGCTCTAAAAGAGAAAATGGCCCAAAGAAAAGAATTTGAGAAAGAAGGTTTCATGACTGTGACGGTACCCCCGACGCCCAGGCGATGGGCGATGCCGGTGCAGGCCAGATCTCACAGCCTGCGATGCTACTCGCTTTGCCACTTTTTTCCTTGACCTCTTCCCTTTTCCTTTCTCAGTAAGCCTTCTGCTCCCGCCGTCACCTTCGCCCCTAGTGCAGTCCCAGGCTTTCTCCGCTACCCGATGCGTTAGTCGGGAGGGTGAGAAATGCTTCGTTGGAGGATACCGTCTGCAAAGGGGAGGGGTGAGCCAGTGGAGAGAAACAGGAATGGATGTATCCATCGAATGCAGGCAGCGTGAGTCTGCGATGCACTGGTTAAGGCACGCGGCTCGAGGGAGCGCGATTAAGAGAGAAGGAGGGGGTCGAATCGATCGGAACTGGTGGATCGATGTCGACTCTGTTGCATGCATGCCTCTGCGCACAAACGCACTTTGCACGAGGACCATGGGCTGGTGGGCTTGAGTGCATGCATTGCGCATTCACATTCACTCGACTCGTGCTGAGTCTCTTACGAGCGCACCGCCCGATGAACGTGATCAAAGGACGCAGGGTAGACCCGCCATGGACGGCCTTCAGCGCTGGGAAGGCCAGAGGGGAGGGGGAAGAAAGAAAAACAATTGGAACATTGAAGGAAAAGGCCAAATCAGATGCACAGTTTCCATGCACACGACAGGGTCCAATACAACAACCAACGGCATACGATCGACATTGCAAGGGCATCGTGCAGACGTCATCCATTCTCGTATCAACAGACCCTGATCTCTCGTTTCTTGATTTTCGTGATCGCGCTTCAAACTTGTTGGTTTACGACGCCCCAACCCCTTCTCGCCCAAGAAAAGAAATGGGGCCACAGGGAGCGAAACAAAACTGGAGAGAAGGGTATTAGTCGAAGGGGAAATGCGGCCCACACCTGCTCGCAACTGATCTCCTCACCCTGCATGAGAGCAAGCAAGATGTGAGAAGATCTAGCCAGACCTGGCCTCGAAAGGGTCCAGGACGTTCAATGTTCAGAAAGGGCGCAAGGCAAGTGTACCACTCTTCGAAGGCAGCTCGGTTATGAGATCCCGAAGCACTGACGCGCAAAACCTGGTTGCCGCCGCACTCTGGCTCACTCTGGTTCACGGTGGATCCAAAGCACGGGCAAACACAACATTAAGAGCAAGGTGAACACTGAACACTGAGGAGATGAGCAACAAGGAGAACAAACACATTGCAAGGGATCCATAGATGTAAGAGATAGACCCGAGCATTTTAGGCGTTGAAACGGGGCAAGCGTGGAAAGTGCTACTCCGGGAGAGAGAACTTGAAGTAATTGTTGGTTCAAACTATTGCTTTCATGGGTATTATCCGTAAATACAAATCAAGTCGAAATAGGCAAGGAAAAGACCGAGAAAAAAAGAACAAGAAAATGACCGAGTCTTGCAGCCTGCAAGACTAAACCAAACATGATAAGCGACAGGATCAAAAGTGTTAGAGAGTGACCCCAGCTGCAATTTTTTCAAATGTTTCCATTTTCGGAGGCCCCATGCTCAGAGCTCTGCATTCTGAATAAAAGGAGAATCTGACAGAATCGAGAGTGTAAGAAAAGGGAAAAGGCGGAAGAAAAAAATAGTATCCAAAAAATAGACAGGTGAAGAATTGAAGAAGACGTGACGAGAAGAAAGGAAAGAAGACGAAAAAGAACACCCCACCAAAATCAAACACTCCATCCTGCGCCTCGTACCACTACAGTTGAGTCTGCAAATGGTAGATATCCATAAATGGTAGAAATAGGAAGGAAAAGGGGAAAATGGATGTAAAAACAAAAGAGTGGAAAGCGTTAAACCCAAAATGTGTAGTCGTTGAGATGTGGCACCTGCGCCCCTTGCATCGTGCCCAGTATTCATAAACCCGTGGAACCAGTCTTCAAAAATTGCCTCGTCCATCATCAGCCTCCTGCCTCTGATCCGTTTTTTTCTTTCCCTCCCATTTGCTGTCTCAAAACAAAAATCATCATCTTGGTTCATTAATTCGTGCTGCCGTAAACGTGCTGAGGGGCTGCTCCTGTGGTGGGAACGGCCGATCCTCCTGGGATGCCGGGAAAGCTTCGCTTTCGGGCAAGTGAGCTGGATCCAATATCCTCGTTGCCGTAGCTTTCGGCGCGCTGCTCCTGGCCTTGGTTGTGGCCATGGCCGTGGCCAATGTTCAGAGGACCACCACCAAAGGAGTCCCTCATTGGTGTCCGAGATGTGGGACTCGCGAGGCTTGCTTGAAATGCCTGTGAGAAATCGTTGGAAGGAGCGATCGGGGCGCTGAGCTGGGGCATGGAGTAATCCTGGACCCCGGTCCTCATGTTACCGCTATTCCTCGAAAGGGAAAAATCCACGGGTGCCGTAAGGGGCAGAAGGAAAGCTGGCCGTGTAGCTGTTGGAGCCGTACTGCGAGGTAGTATTGGCCCTTGACGCCGTTGCAGGCCCCGGCGACTGGAGCGCGCTACCTACGGGCCGATACTGGTTGCGAAGGTCGAGTCCGAGGGGTAGCGTCGCAGACGCCGCTCGGAGGCGAGAGCTGCGGTTCTGAGGGTTTGGTTGCAGGCTGGAAGGCTGCACGTTGGGGTAGTTCATTGCAGTTGGAGATTGCACTGCCGCAGCTGTTTTTGGACTCATGTTAGCAATCCCGCTTCTAAATCGAGAATCTCTCGTATCATTCCATTTTTATCACTTTCGCCCCATCGCTCCTGTTGTTTCCGCTCTTTGACGTGGATTATGACTTACTGGTATAGGTGGAGTCGTATCCCATGCTGCTTGATGTACCACTCAATTGGTCTTGCGGATAGACGGATCTGCCTTGACCGCCAAGCTGCGGGCTATTATGCTGGTTCTGGTACGAGTTGTAGTCGATCGAGTCCCCCTTCCATGACATGCTGGACCGTAGAGGGGATTGGAGATTGTCGGATCTGGACCTGGACATAGTTTCGCGGAGGTGCAGGGGTTGGAGGGTCGAATCCCTTGCCGATTTTGCATTTGCATCGACGTATCGACGCTGTTGTGCCTCCCATAGGGGTTCGAGGTCCGAGGTCCCGCGCTCAGGGATAACCGTACCGGTCATTGGCAGTAGGGGAAAGAGGAGAGAGAATGTCGGGGTTGCTCATGTTCCCAGAGTTGAAACCGATGTTGCCAAATGCAGGGCTTAAGCCAGTTGGGGACATGTGGTCCTCGCCCTCAGCCCGTCTAACATCAACCATCAGAGGCCCTCCTCTCATCATGTGCTCAGCGTAGGAAGGAGTTGCAAAGTCGACGGGCGAGGAGATTGGGGTTCCGAGTCCGTGGACAGCGCCGTAGGGCGAGTGAAGGGCGCCAACATTGTCAAAGTCGTCGGGGACAGCCCGCATCTTCATCATGCGGTCTCGGTCGTCGGCTGTCAGCCGCTTGATCTTGGCACGCCTATGCTTCTTGTTAGAAATTCTTCTTGCTTGCCATGGTTGAAAAGGAAAATTGGCACGTACCTGTTCTGGAACCACACCTGGACTTGACGGGGGCTCAGGCCGGGAATCTCCCGAGAAAGCCTCTCTCGGTGGGCAGCATCGGGATGGGGTTGTTTTGCGAACTCGCTCATGAGAAAGCGGGTCTGCTGGTGTGTGAGCCTGTCCCGTGGGATTAGGGTTAGCGTCAACTCTACTTGCGCTGGCTCGGGGCGGGCTCTATCCTACCTGAAGCGCTTCATCTTCCTCCTCTGCGCCGTCCTTTCGGCTGCGGTTTGTGGTTGACCATCAGGGCCCTCCGCGACGCCCATATCGTCGTCATCAACGAGGTCATCATCATCGTCTTTCTGTGCGGCCGCCTCCGCAGAGCCAGGCCGTGCAGGTTGTCCGTCGACTCCCTGCGCGACGGTGGAGACTGGAATGGAGTTGGAATTCATTGAGAGACCATTTGTTTCACCCGAGACAAGAGTCTCTTCGGGAACAGCGTCTGAGGGTTTTTGACCGTATTGATCTTGCTGATGACCGTCCTGGTGCTCAGGAGCGGGGTGGGAGGCTTCGCAGAGCGGAGACCGAGGGGATCGAGAGCGCGCCTATGATCGAGGCCGACTGTGGGGCCGTCCTTTTGGCTCATATCTACTGAACCGTTGGTCGTGCCGTTGGCGGCGGCGCGAGCTTGTGAGGTCTCCGAGCTGTCATTTGACGACTCAAATGGCTGTGAGAAGATGTTGTTCTCGCTAGGTGGCAGGTACGAGTACTGCCCCTGCCAGTCGGACTGAGTCGACAGCGGAGCGTCGAAGTGGTTCGACATACGTGGTGAGCTAGTCGGCTTCTGGTAAGTGGTCTCGAACTTGCTGAAAGACCAATGGCTCTGCTCAGTGTCAGAATGCCTAGAAACGAGCATTGGAAGTGTTGTCTTGTTGGTTTCGCTGGATAGAGATGGAAGACCGTTGGTCGGGATACCCGAGAAGAGTGCTTTCCTTGCCTTATCAAAGTTTGGAAGAGCAACCCATTCGTCTTTTGTTCTCAAGGGAAATTGGAAGAAGGGATTGGAAAAGAGGAAGAGTAAGAAGAAGAGAGGAGGAAGCAGCAGAAGAAGAAGGAGGAAAGAGACAGGAATGCCCAGGGCTGCAAGTCGTCAAGAATAGGTCGTCTTGGAGCTTGTTTATACTCGAGTCGAGATGATCACTCTGTTCCAGTAGATCCTGCTAGAACAGAAAGATTGGGGAAAGAATGATCCCTTGAGGCCGGGGTGGGTAGATAAAAATGTAAATGAGTGATAGGGATTGCCTTGGTCAGTTGAAGTGATCAAGAGAGAATGGCAGTCTTTTGTTGAGCGTGATCGCAGATCAAACAAGAGAACTAGATCGGCCGGTAAAGGCTAGATTGTGGAGGGCGATGAGGTCTTCTTAAAGAAAATAGAATGGGAGGGAAGGGGGTGTGGGAAGGAGGAGGAGGAGTAGAATGTAAATAGGAAGAGGGGGGTGGCGGAGGGGCGCGGAGACTTTGCGGAACAAGGAACAGCAACAGGCAAAGGCACGGCGTAAAATGGATGCTAGGCGCCGGTAGAGGTAGCGCAGGCTGGATTACCAGTTCAAGTCGATATGCCAAAACGGGTGATCAGACAAGGCAAGGCGTGAGAGGTAAAGAGCGTCTGTTAGGTGCTAGGTGCTAGGTGCTAGGTGGAGGATTCGAACTGGTGATAAAACTTGGCTATGGCAAAGTGAGGTTGAAAGGAAGGAGGGGGATAGAGCAGGGCAGAACAAGGCCGCAGTCACCCTTTTTGCACAAGAATTGAGAGCTGTAGATGAGAAGATGGGAAGAGAGGCGGGAACTGGTCGACAGAGAGAAGTTGCGTGTGATGGTGAGAAGCAGTTCCGGATCCATCGATGGCCTGCGCGATCAAAGTGGGTGGGTGAGGATAATATGTATGTCCCGCTCGTACCCCAGGTTCCATGAGGTGGGATCGCTAGAGATGTAAGAAATTCGTGGTGTCGAGAATGAGCACAGCAAGCGATGGAGATGGATGTGCTCCTGGGTGGGGCCGACCAACTTGGAAGGAATGGATTGGAAGGGGGGCAAGGCAAAAGGTGAAGGGCGAGAACAGGCACAGAACACAAGACAGACACCAGCAAAAGACCACGGGGGTTCCGATATTGTATGGGGACCATGGACGGCAGAGCAGCAAGTGGCAGGCGTAATACCTGCAAGGCAATGAAGGGAACCCTTGTTCAGAAGTGGATATTGTGGGAACACTGGGAGGGACGTGGGATCAATACCGATGGCTTCCCGTCAATCCAACGGAGAAATCGACCTGCAGCATCCGAGTCGGCGAAGAGGGCCTGCAGGGTTCGAATCGCAAGCCAGGGGTAGAGAGGGGCTGTAGACACTCCTCGGGCAGCCGTCTAACAACCCGCCGGTTCGATGGCTGGGCCAGCAAGAATGGGGACAGCTCAAGGGAACCTGAATTTACCTCGACCAGAGAGTCGCCACGGGGCAGGTCTGGTACAGGTACTTGGTCCGAGTACCTCTGCGACGAGAGCAAAGAACATGGAGGGTTGAGTGGCCTCAAGGGCACTCTCGAGGGGAAAAGCCGCACCTTAATGGGCTCTGATATAGGAACCTCGCGAGAGCAATATCAAATCGCCCACCGTGACACTTGCCTACTTTGTCGAGCTCGCACTACTGCTCACATCTCCCTCCTTCCCCTCCACTCCTTTTAGTTTGTTCTTGATTTTGAAATTTGTTCCGCTTGTGCCTCTCCTCTTAGTTTCCCTTGACTAGTATGGTTTTTGAATTTTTGATCGAAAAAACCACTATTTGGTCCTGTCGCTTTCGGCTGAACGGATAATGCCGCCTCAGGGTGGCTGTAAGACCGAGTCCTTGTCCTCGCCGCCATCGCCAGGTGAATCCTTTCACAACCCGCGGCGAACTGATTGGGTTTATAAGGGATACTCTCCTGGCTGAATCAGGAAATCTTATAGACCAAAGGGATGAGACCCGTCTGAAAATACAGTCGAGAGGAAAATGTTTAAGTTGAGGGAAGGGTTTATGGCAGAGCTCGCATCAAAAGAAATGATCGAGCCCGCAGTGTGGAAGTGGTTTGCGGTAGCCTGCACAGCATAGTCATGGTTTAAAGCACCAAACAGAAATGAATGCAACAATTCACGAGGAGGGGGATGAAAAAGAAAATGGAGGGAGACAAAAAGAAAAAGAAAAAGAAAAAGAAAGAGAAAAGGAATTAGAGGACCAATGGGTGGGTGAAAGAGGTCCGATGTGAAGCAAAGTGAAGGAGGAAGGGACCTGTGGAGCCAGGGCCATCTGCTGGCCTGCCCACATCTTTTTGTGTGCTCCTCTCCATGTCCACTACGACTGTCGCGCATATCTCCCCATGAAGAGTTGCAGCGCGACGGAGGCTTGACGTCTCCTCCGCCCCTAGGTACGTACTCTCCAAAGTATCCCCCGTCGCATCGACCTCATCGGTCTCCAAGCAGATCCAGTTCTTGAGGTGGGAGAGAGATGGGGGTGGGTGGTGTGGGCGTGGATGGAGGTGTTAGTTTAAACGATGGAAGACGCGACACCAAGTATTCCACTACATAGCGGAGAGAGTGCTAGCTTTCCCGGCGGCTGGGGAAAGACAAGAGAGAAGACCCAAAACAGCGCGATGGGGCGTCCCTTCTCGAGGGAGGAACAGGGCAGAAAACAGACAGAGAACCTGTTGGCAGCGAAGACGACGGTTGTTGCTATTGGCCCGTCGCGAATTGAGCTTGGGTGAATCCGCGGATGAACGCATGACCGTTGCTGAGACTGTCACGACTCAAGCCAATAGGAACGAGGACGGCCTACTCTTCCTGGTGCAGGATTTTCTCTGAGGGCCTGGTGGAGAGGGTGTGTTCAGAGATGAGAAGGGAGAGGGACAGGAGATCTTTCAAAAGGTGTGGACAAGGGTAGCGGGGGCGTGCATTACCGTCGCCCTTGTGGAGGGTGTGAACATAGACGGTAGGAGTAGCGAAGGTGAGGGAGAGGGGTGAGTCTTGGCCCGAGGCCTGTCCTGGACGGGTGTACAGCTTCCGTCGTCCTCTGCCCACCTTCCACCCTGCAGAAGTGCGACCACAGGTATCCATACCCCGTCTGCCTCTTTGTTGGCTTATCCGGTTTTTTTGTTTCTTTGAGCTCGCCGTCCGTCCTGTCCTGTCCTGTCCTGCAATAGTGCAGATGCTAGAAGCTTACCTGTTTGGGGGCTTCCAAGCCGGAGACCTGAGGCATTGAGACCGGGCTGCAAACGGGTGTGGAGGAAGCACGAGGTGACTAGGAGAGCAATTTTCAGGCTGTTAATACGAATGGAATCCATAGCCCTTCTTTCTTTTCTTTTCTTTCCTTTTTCAGGCGTTTCTTTTGTTAACATTTCCGTCATCAATTCATTGCTTTCCAAACGGGCTGCAAAGCGCGGTGCATCGTCGATGGCTCGTCAAAAGACTCCACTTGCTCGCGGGGGAGTGCAGAATTTGGTACGTCGAGAAGGAGACAATGTGAAGATCGCAAGTCGATCTCCGCTATCTTGGGTAGCGACCATCTGCGCCAGGGCCAGAAAGGCAATCGGGGCTCTGGCTTGGTTGCGAAGCCCGGCATGCCCTGTGCGGTAGGTAGAGAAACGCATTCAAAGGTCTCAGAAGTCATTGGATTAGCCAATCTATCACTGTACATGTTCTGAACCTTTACACTCCCATCTTGATAGGAGCTTGGGTCATATCGCACTAGAGCAGTCCTTGGAGAAACATAAATGACCGAGTTTGACCGCGATATCGCGCAAGGACGGATGATGATAATCGCAGCCTGGTAGAGTAACGTGGTCGGCACCCTTGAACTGTTCGCAGGGCAGCGGGCGAATGGGCTTCTTCTCAGTGCCGAGTCTAAGCCTAGTCCTGTCAACGTTCTGGTGCGAAGGTTTGGAGGGAACATTGAAGTCTTCGGCAGATTTCCCTGTCCCTGCTAGGGCGCGCGCACCTCCACTCCAACCTCCAACCCTTAAAGCACGCTAAAACACTGGCATACTCCCATCCATTACCCGCAAGGCAAGGGACCTATGGCACTGGGCACGCATCCATGCCGTTCCTCCCCACTCCCCCATCCATACAACATTTCGAGCTTGACTGGCCAGTATGAATAGCGTTACGTATAACTGGATGTTCTTTCTCGTTGTGGACGCCATGATCGAAATGGTGTGTCGAGAATCTGGTTCAGCGACCCCCTTCTATATATTTGAGGAGAAGCTGCACCGAAATGTGATTTCCTTTTGTGAACTTTGGGGCGACGTAATTGGTCCGGACCTCCTCAAGAGACCAAGTAGAAAGCAGATTAGCAATGGCGGGGGCCCCGGCCTAGGCACGGTATGTCTCCACGTGTTCAGCCACATCCGGTCGTGTCATCTTTTGTGTCACGTCATGCCATTTACAAGGCACACGGGCGCTGTGAGCATCGAATGCACTAGTGGCTGAGAACCGCTCGAAGACTTGGAGCCGAGTGCAGTATTGATTCGGGATCTGGGCTTAACCAAATCGATGCCTGTGACTGTGCCTACGCATGTGCCTGTGTGCCTGTGCCTGTGCCTGTACCTGGATGTACCAAAGTGTTCCTGGTGGTATAGCGGTGCAAGTCTATCCTCTTCCCCTAGTGTCCTGATCTTTAAGGCGTTCTTCAAGACCGAATAAATCGAGGCGGCTTATTGGAGAGCAGAAATTTGTCAAATAAAGACGATTACACTCGCCAGACCTTAGATAATGCCTAGTCATCATAGCGACGTACCGAGACAAATAGTCCATGAGAGAGTGTGTGGTGTGTGTTTGTGTGTGAGGACGAGGGAGAGGGAGAGGGAGAGGGAGAAGGCGGATCGAAGGAAGATCCAGC